ACAGTGTTCCACCTAGTTGGACAGTAACTTTTTATGGAGAGTCCAAAAGAGGCGTTTGATCCAGACTTCTTGAAATATCTAACCAGCTTGCTACAGCTTGATACTATAGATGTCATTTCCGGTAAGATTTTGATTGCCTTCTCTATACTCTTATTAATCAAGTGGTTCACGCAATGAACTTTTTGATTGTCGCGACATGCTGCAATCATGTTGGACCCACGATCTGAGATAATAACTGGACTGTCATGGTCGAGGTTGCATTCGAATTGTTCCAATATGTTCTTAATTTCCGCTCGAATATTTTTGCCTTTTTTTTAAGTTAAATTATTAAAAAAAAAAACGAATGCTTTATTTAAGCGTTTGCATACCTGTGCAGGAATCTCCTTTCATGGATTTCATTGCCATAAGGCGATCTACTAGAAGTCCTTCCTTTATATAGTTCACCGTGCAAGATAAGTATGAGCATTTTAAGAAGTTGTCGGTCCAAATGTCGCAAGTCAACGAATAACCGAAACATTTGTATTTCAAAATTTCCTTCTTGATTGGGCCAACATGCAATTGAAACATCTTGGAAATGTTTCGCGATATTGTTGTAGGATGAGGCAACAGCTTGTTAACATCTACGTTGGCACCAAACGTGGCACCGACTTCTATAAGAAATTTAGCGAAGTCCTTCAACCCAGAGTCCTGAACAATTTTAAAGGAGCGGCAGTTCTCTATAGTCCATTTCGTCATTAGCGCAGTAGCCTTCTGTTTGGTTTCTTGGCTTACATCGACTTGGGAAACGTTAGCTGTGGTCTGTGATACTCGTGTGTAACACTTGTGTTTTACTAAGTTGGATATGCTTGCTCCAAACTTAAAAACACTTTTGCAAATGTTGCAGGCGACAACGCCATGGACTTCTTCTTTTTTTCCGTTTATAATATTTGAAAACAAGTCCCACACCTTGCTTCTTCCTCTCTTCTTACTCAAGGTATACACTCCATCGAGAAGTTTCTGCTTTGTTTCTGAAAGCTCTTCAGTGGGTAAGACCTAACAGACCACATTATTTTAAAACTCTGATAAAATTAATAATAGAAAGAAACAAATAAACTTACAGGATTGTTCATTTTTGCTATTAATAACTCGAATAACTAGAATGATTCGAATGTTATTGACATGCCTACCTTGTCGTTTTATATTAAGCAATATTTCAGTATAATTCATCTGAATTGAATGTCGAAAATTGTCAAACTCAGTATCATTCAAATTCACTCGCTTTTATTTGACTGTGGGATGTCACTCAATTTATTCATGATAATTCGAATTAATTCAAATATATTCAACTTTCGAATGTATTTAAGCAGACCTCTAGTATATAAGTCGGAACCGAACGGATCGGACAACTATATTTTATAGCTTCCATAGGAAGGATCGAAAAACAAGAAAGGAAGCTAGCTTCGGCAAGCCGGAGCTTATATACCCTTGCAGATCATTCTATTAATTTACAAATCGCAAAAATGTTAAATTTCTTATTATTTCACATTAATTATACCCGTTACTCGTAGAGTAAAAGGGTATACTAGATTCGTGCAAAAGTATGTAACAGGCAGAAGGAAGCGTTTCCGACCCTATAAACTATATATATTCTTGATCAGGATCACTAGCCGAGTCGATCTAGCCATGTCCGTCTGTCCGTCTGTCCGTCTGTCTGTCTGTCCGTCTGTCCGTATGAACGCTGAGATCTCGGAAACTATAAAAGCTAGAAGATTGACACTTTGCATGCAGATTCTAGGAGTTCCTACGCAGCGCAAGTTTGTTTCAAAAGAGTGCCACGCCCCCTCTAACGCCCACAATCCCTTATATACGATTTTAAAAATTTCAATATTTCGGAAAAGTAAAAATGCAGTTTTATGGTGTTTATCAATACCTATCGAAATGTAGAAGAAATTTTTCAAATCGGTCCATTCGTTAAAAAGTTATGCGTGATCAACGTTTTCTATCTCTATCTCCATCTCCCTCGCACTCCCTTTACCTGAGTAACGGGTATCTGATAGTCGGGGCACCCGACTATAACGTTCTCTCTTGTTTTTCGATCGTTTCTATCACAGCTATATGATATAGTAGTTCGATCTTTTAAAAATTAAAATCGAAATTCGGAAATATTTCTAAATAGTCATATCCCAGAGTAGAAGGGAATGTAATAAAACCAACAAAGATATAATTTTTTTCCCATTAATTTCCATTTAATTTTTCGACCGTTCCTATGGCAGCTATATGATATAGTGATCCGATTTAAATAACAAAAAAACCGAAATTCAGAAATATATAAAAAAATATATTCCCAAGAGTAGAAGGTAAAATTTCAAAACACCGGAGCTAGAATTTTTTTACGTTTTTTTTTTTGATCCTTCCTATGGGAGCTATAAGATATAGTTGGCCGATCCGGTTGGTTCCGACTTATATACTACCTGCAATAGAAAAAAGACTTTTGGGAAAGTTTTATCCCGATAGCCCAAAAACTGAGAGACTAGTTTGCGTAGAAAAAGACAGACGGGCAGACGGACGGACAGACGGACATGGCTAGATCGACTCGTCTTGTGATGCTGATCAAGAATATATATACTTTATAGGGTCGGAAAAGTCTCCTTCACTGCGTTGCAAACTTCTGACTGAAATCATAATACCCTCTGCAAGGGTATAAAAAAGGTTAAAAAATGCTAGCTTCGGTGTTTTTTGAAATATTACCTTCTACTCTCGGAGATGTTATTTTTTTAATATTCTGAATTTCGAATTTAATATTTAAAAAATAGCTTCCATTGCACTATTGGTAAAAATCCCAATTTTGGTGCATATCTATTTTCATAATTTATTTTTATGAATGGACCATACTAATCGATTCTTGACATCTTCATTTGAAGAAAAACCGCCTGCATTTATACTTCTCGGAAATCTTTAAAGATTTGGGCGCAGGACCTATTTTAAAATCGTTAGTGGGCGATTGTGGGCGTTAGAGGGGGCGTGGCGCTCGGCTAAAATAAACTTGCGCTGCGTAGGAAGCCAAAGAATATGTGTGGGAAATCTCAACCTTCTAGCTTTTGTAGTTTCTGAGATCTCAGCGTTCATACAGACAGACAGACGGACAGACGGACAGACGGACATGGCTAGATCGACTCGGCTAGTGCCCCTGATCAAGAATATATATACTTTATGGGGTCGGAAACGCTTCCTTCTAGCTGTTACATACTTTTGCACGAATCTAATATACTCTTTTACTCTACGAGTAACGGGTATAATTAGCTTACTTTTTTGCTTTTATGTGTCTTGCTGTCCAACTGTGAACTGTCTTATATGTGTATCTTTATAGATTCGAACTAGCGATTGAGTTTGTGTTTGTGGAGTATAACTTCTTAATGGCACAGAGTTGCAAAGAAGTAAAACAAAGGAATTAACCACAAAAGTGTCCTTGTTGCCATAGAATTAACAATTTTTGCTCCTTTTTGGTAAATGTGCGTTTATCTTGCCACATATGCGTTCACCATGTATAGGACTAATTACTTTTGGTTCCCTATGAAGCCACATCATAATTGAAAACAAGAGAGAACGCTATAGTCGGGTGCCCCGACTATCAGATACCCGTTACTCAGCTAAAGGGAGTGCGAAAGAGATGGAGAAAAACTTTGATCCGGCGTAACTTTTTAACGAATGGTCCGATTTAAAAAATTTCTTCTACATTTCGATAGGTATTGATAAACACAATAAAACTGCATTTTTACTTTTCCAAAATATTGAAATTTTTAAAATCGTATACAAGCGATTGTGGGCGTTAGAGGGGGCGTGGCACCCTTTTGAAACAAACTTGTGCTGCATAGGAACTCCTAGAATCTGCATGCAAAATGTCAATCTTCTAGCTTTTATAGTTTCCGAGATCTCAGCGTTCATACAGACAGACAGACGGACAGACGGACATGGCTAGATCGACTCGGCTAGTGATCCCGATCAAGAATATATATAGTTTATAGGGTCGGAAACGCTTCCTTCTACCTGTTACATACTTTTGCACGAATCTAATATACCCTTTTACTCTACGAGTAACGGGTATAAATACATTGCTCCTTTTGACTCCTTAGCAGAAAGTGCATCAGAAGCTAGACACAAACTTTGTTTGTGGTTAAGTTAGATTACATTTTCAAAAAGGATCATATAGAAGAGACGTGTAATTATTTAATTTCGAAAAGAGTAACAAAATTGGTTGACCACTCTTGAAGATATATCCCAAAGAAAAATGAAGATTTTCTTAAATTAAAGATACCGGAAATACCAGAGCTGATGGAGTATAGGCGTAGTGGCAAATTATGCTTAGAAAATACTCATTTATCAAAATAAAATGGTGGCAAGCCTGTTGGTAAAATTGAACAACAAAGATAGTTACGTAACTATTAAAATAGTTACGTGTATTTTGTTTTTGCTTTGGGTTTGTGTCTTTGCCAATTGTGTGTATTTTGTTGTTGTGACTATTTACTATGACTATTTACTTAGAAGAATTGACAATTTTGCTGGTTGGGGCCTGTTTGACAATTATTACAGTTGATTTTACCAAGTTTTTTTTTTGTGTGTAACAAACAAATTTTCAATATAATATCTTTTAAACCTGAGTGTTTGCACCAAAAACGGGTTTTTTGCCCACAGTGCATAGGAACGATCGGAAAACTAAAAGAAGAGTAATAGGAAATAAATTCTAGCTTCTTTGGTTTTTATTATATTTTCTCTAGGATATGACTCTTTTTAAATATTTCCGAATTCGAATTTTAATTTGATCAAAATCAGACGACTATATCATAAAGCTGCCATAGCATAGTAGTCGCCGCCATAGGCCAAAAATCAAAAAATTGATTTTGAGATATTCCAGCGAAAACCAGTTTTACGACCAGCTGATTGTCCAAACTTTTACTACACAATAGTTTTTTTTTGGAATTAATAACGGGATTTTCCAACAATGGAATGAAAAGAGCGATGACGTGCTTACTTACTTGCTATTAGTCAACAGTGCAGTGCAATGCAGTGAATTAAAAAAATTGTAATAAAATATAAAGCACGGTTTAACCGAATTCGAATATAATAGATATTGTTCATAACGGTATTTACTTTGTTTTTACAGATACATGTATAAATAACTTGCGCTGTGTTTTCTGTAAAGAAGTGGTAAAACGTGCGTCTTATTTAGTTCGTAAATGTTCTGCACACAACAAAATTTGCTTGGTAAAATTGACCAACAAAGATAGTTACGTAACTATTAAAATAGTTACGTGTATTTTGTTTTGCTTTGGGTTTGTGTCTTTGCTAATTGTGTGTATTTTGTTGTTGTGAAATGACAATTTACTTAGTAGAATTGACAATTTTGCTGGTTGGGGCCTGTTTGACAATTATTACAGTTGATTTTACCAAGTTTTTTTCTTGTGTGTGCATTACAATGATAAGGTAATGTTTTAAGTGCTTTTTCCCCGCGTTTCCCCAAATGATGTTTATATCCTGTTATTAATTAATATTTCAAGATTATAAAAATGTTTTGTCCAGCTGCCGAAAGGTGCCGATGCACTTGTGCCATTAAAAAATGCAACCTAACCTCATTTATTGTAGCAGGTCTATCTAGGAGGAAGCACGTTTTGTCTGTGTTTGTTGTTTTTGTAGCTTGTTTTTGCTGTTTCTCTTGTTGCTTTTTGTTATGTGTTTTTTGATTAGAAAGCTTTATAAAGGAGCCGCTTAATCAAAAACTATCGATATTTAATAATTCGACTGCAAGTACAGATTTATTTAACAGATTGATTTTAAGTTCTGATCCATTTATTAATGGACAAAAAAACGTAGTTATAAACTCTTTAAGAGTCAACTATTTCGTTACTTGATCAAACAATTTAAAAATGATATTAAATCGTATCATTGTTCGTTTTGTTTTTTATACCCTTGCAGAGGGTATTATGATTTCAGTCAGAAGTTTGCAACGCAGTGAAGGAGACGTTTCCGACCCAATAAAGTATATATATTCTTGATCAGCATCACTAGACGAGTCGATCTAGCCATGTCCGTCTGTCCGTCCGCCTGTCCGTCCGCCTGTCCGTCCGCCTGTCCGTCCGCCTGTCCGTCCGTCTGTCCGTCCGTTTCTACGCAAACTAGTCTCTCAGTTTTCAAGCTATCGGGATAAAACTTTCCCAAAAGTCTTCTTTCTATTGCAGGTAGTATATAAGTCGGAACGAGCCGGATCGGACAACTATATCATATAGCTCTCAGAGGAACAACCGGAGAAAAAAATGTAAAAAAATTATATCTTGGGTGTTTTTGCACCTATAACATCCTACTTTTGGAAATGCCATTTTTTATCTAATTCTGAATTTCGAAAAAAATGTTTTCAAAATCGGACGACTATATCATATAGCTGCCATAGGAACGATCGGAAAATTAATGGGAATATAATAGGAAATAAATTATTGCTTCGTTGGTTTTTATTGTATTCTCTTCTACTCTAGGATATAACTCTTTTCAAATATTTTCGAATTTTGATTTTAATTTTATCAAAATCGAACTACTATATCATATAGCTGCCATTAAAACGAACGCAAAATTAATGAGAAATAATAGGAAAATTAATATTTTTGCGATTTGTAAATTAATAGGAATTATCTGCAAGGGTATATAAGTTTCGGCTGGCCGAAGCTAGCTTCCTTTCTTGTTTATAATTTTTTTGGTGTGGGTGGAGTTCAGTAATTACTCCCACATTGTTATATTGTAGTTCTAAGTTTGTAAATAACGTACGGAAACAAACCAGCTTGTTAATATTACAAAAATTGAATTTTTAATTGCCCTCTCATGTAAACGCAACCACTGAAAAAATCGTTCCTATGGAAGCTATAGGATATAGTGGTACAATCTGGCCAATTTTTGTAACATATATTTATAATATTTACCTAGATTTTTTTAAAAAATTTCATAGCGATTGCACATCTAGAAGTATTTATGGCCGCAGCTCCATACAAGCCCGACCACAGCGCATAGGAACGATCGAAAAATTAATGGCAAATTAATTGGAAACAAATTATAGCTCCGTTGGTTTTTATTATATTTTCTTCTTCTCTAGGATATGATTTTTTTTTAATATTTCGGAATTTCGAAATGAATTTAACTAAAATCGGACAACTATATTATATAGCTGTCATAGGAAAGAATAGAAAAATTAATGTCAAAACAATACGAAATTTAACATTTTTGCGATTTGTAAGTTTATAGGAATCATCTGCAAGGGTATATAAGCTTCGGTTTGCCGAAGCTAGCTTCCTTTCTTGTTTTCTTTGTCAAAGTACCTTTCGCTGCAGGTGTCCCTTTTATTTTTCATATGACTGTAAATAAATGCAATAGAATAGGAAAAACGCATTACAAAAAGACGTGTTTTTATTTTATTTACCCTACTGGGGCTATTAAGTTTTAAAATTATTTTTTGCAACCCCTATTAAGGCATTCCCTTTAATATTGCAACCCCTATAAAGGAATACCCTTTAATATTGCAAAGGGTACATTGAATATATTGCGAGTTACAGTTCGGCAACTTTGAAAATGTAAAACTGTTTAACCAATTACGGCATCTATTATGGTTTTTCCCATGAGACAGCCTATGCATTCGGCTGTTTTATTTGCACAAAAAAGGAGCATATAAGGGAAATTATATTATGTTGGGGGGAAATCCGACAATGTTAACGAATTCACTTCCGAGTGAAAACTGGAATAGTCCGGAATATCTTAAAATCAAAGTCGCAATGTTTCTTCTTACTTCACGAAGGTTTTTTTCTTATATTAAGCGCAACATTTACAATGAAAAGTCCTTTAATAAAAAAGTTTTTTCATAAAATATACAAGTTTTAAAACGAATGAAACGAAGTTACCGAAATGCGCACAGCGGGACTTTAATATTTAGATAAAAGCTGGGTAACTATGGCATGGAAAGCAATTGCTATACTTACATCGCTATGCTATGACTACATTTTTAACGAAAAATAATCACTGTCTTTACCGTATTTGCTTAATTACGTTTACCTTAAATTTTTTAATACTTCAACTCTATTGTGGCTTATCGTGATATACTCGGTAATGTGAGATTTAATATATTAATTATTTGATATTGCAAGAAAGACCAAGAAGGACCATTACCACAAGCGGCATCGCTGACTGGCCTTCATCTTGGCCTTTTTATCGCAGCCAAATTCAATAGAAAATTCCTCAAAGTTGGCCAGCGTCTGCATCACACGCAATTCAGTGGCGGCGTGCTTCAAATGAGCCTCCGACTTTGACCGATGGCCGAGTACAGGTGTTCGACTACAGAAGAACTGGGCGAAGCTTAAAAAGAATATTTGCCGCTGGGTAAATTGAGGCATTAGCGGATCGCGGAGGTCTTTGTCAGCGCCCACATCAAAGAAGGTCTCATACGAAATTTGGAAAGCCACGAAATCGGCTAGTTTCTCGTCAGTCCAGTTTGAACCGGTGGCCATATGTTGCTGCAGGCAGTCGAGACCCTTTCGGAAATGCTTGCTCGCCCCGATTTCCTCCACTGGACCCATTATGTTTCCCAGGGCATCATAGTCCATTCCCGACATGTCAAAGCCATGGGCCAGTTCATGAGACAACGCGAATCCCAATACGGCATGCTTCTGCAGGGCGCTGATGTTTGTATGCCACACGGGCAACTGGAGCAGACCGTGGGGCACCAGTACCAGGTTGCGGGGCCTAACATACAGGGGCGACGAGTTACTGGCCTCCCAGCTTTCCGCCAAGTAGCTGACGTTGCTGTCCGTGGAGTTTGTGGAGTTCATGAAGAGCAGATTGTGATTCGCCTCTACTCGTTGGCGTAGTAGAACTAGCTGATTTTCGTAGAAGGAATGGCCATTCAGGTCAACATGGAGCAGGTATTGCCCCAAGTTGTCCGCTACCTCCGGCTGGAAAAAGCCTATCTGCAGATGCGCTGCGCGCAGCTTCTGCAGCAGGATGTGCAAAAGGGGAGGCGATAGTCTGAGACGGTTTTCAGCCAGGATTTGACCAAAGCGCGCCTTAAGGCGCTGAAACAGAGAGCGCACGTTGGACTCGGAGTCAGGATCGGAAAACTGCTGACCAACTATCCAACTACTGGCCAGAGGCATAGCCCTTCTGAGGCTGGCCACGCACTCACTCCGCGAGATATCTGCGGGACCCTGTTGCTTGAGAAAGGCCAACCACTTAAGCATAATATAGCTGCACACTGTGTCCGGATCTTCGGCAGCCAACAGGTCGGTAAGGGCCCTCAGGTAAGGAATGTTCTCGATAATTAGTGTGGAGAGCAGATCCAACTCGGAATCGATCCGCACTTGGCGCATAAAAGACAACCATCGGAGCTGAGGCAGATACGTGTCTAGATAGCCCAGTTGCATTTCTCGAGGCCCGAGCTCGTCGTCTTCCAGCTCCTGCAGGCGGTGCACTTTTCTTTCAAAATCGTGTACCAGGCGGGCCAAGGCGTTTGCCGTGCGTTTTGTTTGCCCGATGTCCAGGAGCAGCTCGATGATGGCGCCCTCACCCATGGGCAGCGTTTCCTGGCGACTCGGTTTGTTTACGTAGATGCAGTAGATGCGCGAGTCGTCCCATCGCGGCAAGACATCCTCCCTCAGCAGCACCCCGTTTAGTCCGTGCAAACGCAGTCGTCCCAAAGTCGTTATCCAATCGAACTTTTCTGGACGCCATCCTCGACCCACAGAAGGCCATTGGGTGCAGTTACTTGGCGGCATTATCTGCAGATACTTTTTTAAGTTATACGGCCTAAGGCGTTTGCAAGAACGGTAGTAGAGGCGCATCTGCTCCAAAATCGTGGACTCCAAATCGGAGGAACTCTCGTTTTTGCGCCTCAGCACGAGTTCCAGTTTCCGGTTCACGGAGTGGTCGATCAGTTCTAAGGTGTCGCTCGGCAGCAGCTGCCCTTGGTACGAAGCTCTGTTCTTGACCCATTCGCTTTCGCGCAGAGAGTGCTGCTCCTGCTGCTGGATCTGCCAGTTGCCGCAGGCATACTGATAGAAATTCTCGCAGGGACGCGTCTTTGGGTCCATGTAGCTCTGCAGTTGTTCTGCCATCATTTTCTGGATGCTTTGGGGGGAGTTGGTCAGGCGACAGGCAGTGGGCGTGGTTCGCCATGCCAGTGAAAAAATAAGCCAGGCCACTAAGCTTAGCTTGAGCATGATCTTTTCGACTGTGACAAATTGTAACTGGACAGACTACGATTCGCACGAATCAGATCGCCCGGAGAATGTGGACTAGAGCTGGCCATAGCATGTCAGTCATCATCGTGGAAGGAGCAATGAATTACTGGCATTTGTACGCACGAACTATTTTTTTTACCTATTCACTTTTATAACCTTGGTCAGTTTCTTGTCCCTTTTGGTTAACTTAAATAAAACAAAATAACAATAGTACGCTAAGAAAACACATTTGATATTTTTTTGACTATTAACAAATAACATCAAATTGTGAAATATTGTTACAAATTTTTTAGAGTACCCAAAAATATTTAATTGTTTAAAATTCTGGAAGTCCAAAGCAGATTGACATTTTTAGGTAAAGTTCGGACTGACAGTACATGGATCCACTGTACTCTGCTCCCCAAGTCGCACTTTTAGACATAAGTGTTCGCTTATCAGTTTCACCTTGGCCTTGATTCCCGATCCGCTTGATTTGCTTGTTGCGGCTGACCCACAACGAGCACAATTGCTGTCATTGAACTTGCCTCATGCTGATGCCTCGGACTCTCTACTTTCAGAACCGAAACGATTCCAGGCCACCCGACGTACAAAGCTTCCATGCGACTGACGATTACTAATGTTCAGAGCAGCGATTACGGCAACTACAAGTGCGTTGCCAAAAATCCTCGCGGAGACATGGACGGAAACATAAAGCTCTACAGTAAGTGTCTGATTAAACGCTAAACAAATATTAAACAAGAAAGAAAGCTAGCTACGGCCGGAGCTTATATACCCTCGCAGATCATTCCTATTAACTTACAAATCGCAAAAAATGTTAAATTTTGTATTGTTTTGACATTAATTTTTCTGTCCTTCCTTTTTTGTTAAATTTCGAAAAAAAACATATCCTAGAGTAGAAGAAAATACAATAAAAATCAACGGAGATAGAATTTGTTTCCAATTAATTTTTCGATCCTTCCTATGGCAGCTATATGATATAGTCGTCCGATTTTGATCAAATTAAAATTGAAATTCGGAAATATTTAAAAAGACTCATATCCTAGAGAAGAAGAAAATACAATAAAAGCCAAAGAAGCTAGAATTTATTTCCTATTACTTTTCCATTAATTTTCCGATCGTTCCTATGGCAGCTATATGATATAGTCGTCCGATTTTTTAAATATTTTATTCAAAATTCAGAAATATTTAAAAAATAACATCCCCAAGAGGTGAAGGTAATATTTCGGAAAACAGCGAAGCTAGAATTTTTAGATTTTTTTTCCGATTCTTCCTATAGGAGCTATAAGATATAGTTTTCCGATCCGGTCGCTTCCGACTTATATACTACCTGCAATAGAAAGAACCCTCTGCAAGGGTATAATGACACCGGCTAGTGGCTCTTTGACACCAAAAAGGGTAAAATTAATATTTTCAAAAGTATTAAAGTCACACTAGAATAGGGTCAACTTGATGAAATTCGGATCAGAGACTTTTTATACTCTTGCAGAGGGTATTATGATTTTAGTCAGAAGTTTGAAACGCAGTGAAAGACGTTTCCGACCACATAAAGTATATATATTCTTGATCAGCATCACTAGCCGAGTAAATATAGCCATGTCCGTCTGTCCGTCCGTCTGTCCGTCCGTATGAACGCTGAGATCTCGGAAACTACAAAAGCTAGAAAGTTGGGAGTACCCAACTTGCTTCCTACGCACGTTTATTTCAGCCGAGCGTGACGCCCCTATAACGCCCACAATCGCCCACTAACGATTTTAAAATGTGTCTGGCGCCCACACCTTTAAAGATTTCCGAGAAGTATAAATGCAATTTTGTTGTGTATACTTATACCTATACATTTTTCAAATCGGATTATTCATTAAAAAGTTATGCGCAATCAAAATTTTATATATCCATCTCCCTCGCACTCCCTTTAGCTCAGTGACGGGTATTAGATAGTCGGGACACCCACCCGACTATAGCGTTCTCTCTTGTTCACTTTAAATTCAAGCTAGTAGGAAATATACACCTTACTAACAGGGACCGTAAAAAATAATTTTTTTTTTGAGTAAGAAATTCCTTTCTATTCTCAACTTCGATCTGTGGTGAAAATATCTAAGGGTTAGCATCCTTTTTCTTGATCCTTTCGATTTCTTGTTCTGCAGTCGAGAAAAGCAACTGTTCCTAATGTTCGAACAGATACGCCGAACCAATTTAGTGGCTGTGCTTCAGACAAAATTTTAATTATAATTTTCAGCAGTCATTACTTGGACGGAAAACACCAACTAAATTAAACGTTCTGCGGATCGGTTTACCAATAAATCACATTGACAACGTAACGCCGTCCCTTAAATGGAAGAATGTCAGCATTAAACTGACAATAGATCCACATAGTGATCCGGTAAGACAGCCTATGAGACGTATTCCTGTCGCGTTGGCAGGGAAAGTCAATGAAAAGTTGGAGGAAGCTCGCAAGCTGGATATCATTGAACCAGCAAATGGATACAGTCCTTGGATATCACCGATAGTCATTGCGTTCAAGGAAAACGGCGACATTCGTCTGTGCTTGGATAGGCGGCAGGCCGACCGGCCTATTCGTAGAGAAAATTACCCGTTGCCCACTTTCGAATCCTTTATGACGGAATTAAAAAGTGTCAAATTGTTTTCCCAACTGGACCTAAAAGATGGATACCATCAACTAGAGCTAGAGGAATCAAGTAGGAAGATTACAACTCATGTGACAATGTAATGAATTATAACGACGATATAATAGTGTTTGGAAGTAACGAGAAAGAGCACGATGAAGCTGTCAGGAAGGTGCGCGATGTTCTTAGAGAATCCAAAGTATTTGGAAGACGAACAAAATTAAGTTCCTGGGTCATATCTTAACAGACGAAGGAAGTGAAGTAGATCCTGAGAAAATAATAGCTACTGGTTTGTTCCGTGCTCTCAGAAACAAAGAAGAGACGCATAGTTTCCTGGGTTTGGTCACCTACGTTGAAAAGTTCATTCCTGACCTTGCGGATCTAACTGAACCGTTACGTGAGTTGTTAAAGAAGGATCAAAGATCCGTTTGGGGACCAACTGAAGAGCACGGGTTTCAAAAGCTAAAATCGTCGTTAACTAAGATTCTGAGATTAATAGCTGACGCAAGCACCGTTTCTTTGGAGGCAGTATTGATGCAATTGAAAAATGATGTCGAACCAAATATAATCGCTTTTGCCAGTCGAGTCTTGACCGATATAGAGAAACGGGCAGTGAAGAGATATTATTTTTACTAAATGGGACTCAAGTTTGAACTTGTGACTGATCATAAGCCACTAGAAGCGATTTTTAAGCCTACGTCACAACCTCCAGCTCGTATCGAGAGATGGCTTTTACGGCTTTAGACGTATCAGTTTAAAGTAATATATATATCGGGCAAGGAAAATATCGCTGATTGTCTATCCCCATTGTGCGAGAGAGCATCTTTCACATCTTACAATCTTAAGGCCGAGCACCTCATACTTCGAAGTATTGAGAACAATGCCCTAACACTGATAGCTATATCTGAAAATTGCTGAAAAGAGGGCTCAGGACCAGGAAATTGTTGACGCGAATATGTGCCTTGAACAGGCTTCTTGGCATTCCGTTATATCTAATTAACTATACCCATTCCGACATGAGCTGTCAACGATTGGTACAATTTCTAGGACCACTTCCGAATAATAAATATATATTAGTTTTAATAGATTACTACTCGAGGTAAATGGAGTTTAAGTTTATGCGCCCAATCACATCACAATCGCTAACTGAAGCCAGACGAGAAACATTAGTTACCTTAAAAAGGATCCCAAAACAAACGAGCTACCTGTCGACACCAAAAAGGTGTCTTTTCCCGATCCTGACGTGGACCAAGTCTCAGATCCCGCATCGCCCAAGCAGCTAACCCCTGGAAGGATGGATGAACATAACCCGGACGGATTGAAGCTAAAGCTCGTGAGGAAGGAAGGGATGTGGGAACCAGCATCACTATGCTAATCTAAGACGCGAATTAATTATTAATATAATATAATTATTATATATTATAATTATTATTATTAATAATATAATATAATTATTCTTATCGACACGATAAGAAGAGACGACTACATTTATTTGTAATTTTTGTCGTGGCGTCATACGTAAGATTCGACGAGTTCGTCACATTACCCTACACTCAAAAATTATTTTTCTTAAATATAGAAAAAACAAGAGAGAACGCTATAGTCGGGTTCGTGTCCCGACTATCTAATACCCGTCACTCGGCTAAAGGGAGTGCGAGGGAGATGGATTTATAACATTTTTTTGATTGCGTATAACTTTTTAATGAATGGTCCGATTTGAAAAATGTCTTCTACATTTGGATAGGTATAAATATGCACAACAAAATTGCATTTATTCTAATTAATTAATTAATCTTTAAAGGTGTGGGCGCCGGACACATTTTAAAATCGTTAGTGGGCGACTGTGCGCGCTAGAGGGGGCATGGCACTCGGCTGAAATAAACTTGCGCTGCGTAGGAAGCCCAAGAATATGTGTGGAAAATCTCAACCTACTAGCTTTTGTAGTTTCCGAGATCTCAGCGTTCATACAGACAGACAGACGGACATGGCTAGATCGACTCGGCTAACGCTTCCTTCTAGCTGTTACATACTTTTGCACGAATCTAATATACCCTTTTACTTTACAAGTAACGGGTATAACAAGAGGGAACGCTATAATCGAGTGCCTCGACTATTAGATACCCGTTACTCAGCTAAACAACTTAATATAAATATGCCTTCTTGTATGTTTTTCGCCGCTCGAATTAGCTCCCGATTTTTATGTTAAAATCGGTACCCAGGGAACAACACGGGAGGCCGTTGATTTGGAAACCAAAATAAAATTTGGGGACCTACGAGTCGACTTGAGTCGCCAAACTTTATTTAAGTTTGGAATCTCCATGTTCCCCAAAATTTTGTTTATCCGGAAAGCATACTTATGTACTTACTACTAATACTTATTTGATTTAAATTTATTAAAAAAACTGTGAATGCAACTATTTAATTTTTTTGGGTTTTTTGTTTAATTTAAATATATAGGGGAGTGTAGGGTAAGGTGACGAACGATTCGTTTTTTGAATATAACTTTTGTAAAAATCAATATTTTTCAAAAGTGTAAACGCAGAAAGTTGCTTACATCTACTGAGCATATCCCTGTAAAATTCGAAATTCGAAATTCCAATGCAGCTAAATCCCACAGCGTTTGGCGTGAACCCTACTTTTTTTGCACTTTCAAAAGTTGTAGGGTAATGTGACGAACGATTTGTTCTTTAATGTAACTTCTCCAAAAATCAATATTTTTTAAAAGTGTAAAAGCAGAAAGTTGCTTACATTTACTGAGCATATTTCTAAAAAAATTTGGCTTCGAAATTTCAACGTAGCCAAATCCCACAGCGTTTGGTGTAAACCATCCTTTTTACAAACAAAAAAATACATTTTTTTATATATTATTTACGGAAAGGTTATTTTCGATACGGAAAAGAAAAAAGTAATAAGATAATACCCAAACTTACCAAAAAAAAATGGTCAAAGTGCAAATTTTTTTTAAAATTAAATTAAACTGACGTCACTATTAAAAGCAACAATAAATCTGCAGCAGTAAATGTTATCTGGTACTATTATATTTTTTTACAAATAATCAACAACAACAGTTAAAATTCTT